GATGAAACTGAGTTTAGGCAACTTGCTCAAGGTCACAAGATTTGAAGCCTAGAAGTTGAGCCCCTTCATGAATTTCCGTCTAGGCTCGCATGTACCCCATTGCTTTTCTCTACCCTGAAGCTTCTCCCATCACTCTTGTTTTGATCTGAACCACAGTGGTAGTGGGCAGGTGAGTGACAGCATGTGCTCAAGAGAGCGTTCCTCCTGGGCCTGCTTCCCTTGAATTCTCAAGCCTTCACAAAATGCATCAGTGTTTTAAATTTTATTTTATAAACAAGCATTAAGTACCTCTTGGTATAAATCACTATATAAGGTGTGCTAGGGGAATATAAATATGGGTAACATACATCCCTGACCTCAAATGAGCTTATAAACCAATAGTAGCAAGATGAGGCAATGAAAGGGGCTGACCGAGTACAGAGCCAGCTCAGATCAAGGTTGTAAACTGAACTTAGTGAAATGCAGAAGAACCACTTTTCCCTTCCATCCCAATTGGATTCGATGTCCTGTCCACATCAGCGCAGGAGAAGAGCTTTTTTAATGGCACAGCAGAGCTGACACTCTGCTCTGAATATTCAACCTAATGTCAAGAAGTGTCCAGATGAACATTAACAGGAAAATTAGAGAAACTAGTAAACTTAATAATGAAGGAACTTTTAAAAAAAATCTACCTGTTTAGTGCCTAGAAGGGATCTTTGGGTGGGTCCACAGAATGTTGAACTAGCAAATTTTTAAACAATTTTTTTTTAAATGTAAGTTGCTTTTTTAGCCTCTTTGGAATTTATGAGAATCTATATTATTTGGAACATGAATGTATTTTTGAAGATGGATCCTTTGTATAGGTTATAGGGGTAGAGCAGAGACTACAGTATAGGAGGAAAGCTTAGGTCATAGTGGATAAGATGTATGAGATTCATTTGCAAAACCAGGTTCTAAAGTGCTTTACAAATTTTAGTAAAGGAAGTAAGTATGGGGTACAGTGGTGCTGAAATGTAAGCTTTTGTTAATTTTTAAAATATACAAACATTAACTTACAAACTAGTGAGTTTGCTTGTGATTTACAACATCTTAACAATAATCCATATGAGGCAAAATCACAGATTTGTTTAAAAAAAATCTCAAGAATTGTTAATGGCAGGGATATGGTATTAGAAGGTTCCAGTGCCACTTGTTTAAAGTGACCCTGACAAAACTGAATCCTGGTCTGGGACTCTATCATCAAAAGCCCTTAGGTACAGTCTGAGCCCTGCCCCTAATTAGCTATGTTTCATAGAGATGGAACTTGCACCCTCCCAGTACATATTTCTTTTAGCTAAAAAAATGAGGATAATAGATTATACAATCACTTCCAGTCATAATTATCTCAGAGCTTCTGTATCATTAACTATGATGCACATATCACAGGTTACAACTTTCCAGGGGAAGCCAGAATTTGGAGTCTAGGCAGATCTGGAAGGTCACAGCTGGTCAGAACATAGGAACACTCATAGGAAATTTTTGTTCATGGATAGATAGACAGGAAAGCATTCCAAGACTGGAAGATCAATCAAAAGGCAGAGGACAAGTTGAAAATACTTTAAGACGAGGAAAATGCAAAATCCAGGCTCCACCAGAAGAGAAGATCCATTAGGGCAAAGATTTGGGGATATCTTTGTTACTCGGGTTGGTTGGTTTGCTTGCTTTCCCCCCACCCCTTGCTGTATCTTAGAAGAGTCTGTAGCATATAGAGGTGCTCAGCAAACATTTGTCAAATGAATAAGTGAATCAAGGTTGTTAGTCAAGCTGGACCACTGGAGACCTAAGTGGTCAGTTCCATCAGGGTTAGGGGCTAAGCTCTGGCAAATGGAGGCAGAAGGGCTGGGTCAGAGTAAGACTAACTAGATGCAGCTCGACGAACTCTTGAGTGGTATTTTAAGCTTCTGGGAGATCAATCCTAGAGAGCAGTACTATGTACCAGGCACTTTACTTTATAGTCATGCCTGCCAGAGAGGGCAATTGCCTGAGGAGCCAGGGAGAGCCTGACACCATGAGGACAGCTTCTGACCTGGACTGGGAAGGCAGCATGGGAACAGGCACAGACTATGGGCTCTAGAAGAAGCAGAGGGCCTTGGCTGAACTTGGCTGAATGGATAGTGCAAGTGTTAGGGGCAGCACTAACATCTCTTAGATGGCTTTATTCTAAGGTTTTGCCCGAAATAATATGACATTTCTTTAGAAGAGTAGAGATGGAACCTACTTAATAACCCATCTTTACATATTAAATTGGGGTATATGTATTCTGTATGTATTTTACACGGGGTATGCTATTTGCTAAATCGGATAAGAAAGAACAATTTTAAGGCTTACTTTTCAACACCATTACACTTGACCAACATTCCTGATCCTTTTTATAAGAACCCCATTTCATTATGGTCCTCTTTATTATGTAAAACACACAACTGAGTTAAACATTTTTTCACCTGCTGTCTTCCTTAACTTGGTTGGGTTACAGTCAGCCTCTCCCTGTATCCACTTAGTCCATTCAGCACAGTGCCTTGGGATTATTTTAGATTCTGCTTTTAGGGGCAATTAGTAGCTAAATCTCAAAGCAAAATCAGAATATCCTAAGGAATCAGATCATCTTGGCCACACTGGTCCTAGATCCATTCAATCATTCACTTTCCCCTTTCCTACACGTCTTTTTCTAAAAGCTACTAAAGAAATTCATCCCAACAGAAGTCATTTTTTTCTCTAGACCCTTTACACTGCCACTGAGACTTCCACATACATGTAATAATTAGTAAAGTTTGAAAACATTTTTAAATTCCTAAGTTTTCTTTATTATATATTTATTTAGGTCTGGGACAGGGCCCAGCAATCTGTATTTTAAACTAGCACTTCAGGAGATTCTGATTCATCAACATGTATTGACTGCCTACTGTGTACACTGTCCAGGAGGACAAACAATCAAAGACCCTCATCTTAATAAATTCACATTTTAGTGGGGGAATTCTGAAGAACGTGTTCTTAAGAAACACAGGGAGAGTGGTGAGGCCCACCCTCCCTGCAGCAACCATCTACCAGGTCCTGCCCATCCTGCCTCTGCCCTCTCCTCCTCAGCTACTCATAGACATTTCTGCAGCTCCACTTCCAGCACTCTTTCCCTGAATCAGCTTCCAGTGGTCTCTGGGCACCGGAGTAATCTTTGTCATCCCAAGTCTGAACATACCACTCCTCCTCTGTTTTTTCTTTTATTGCATTTTAGGTTTTGGGGTACATCTGAAGAACATGCAAGATTGTTGCTTAGGTACACACATGGCAGTGTGATTTGCTGCCTTCCTCCCCATCACCTATATCTGGCATTTCTCCCCATGCTATCTCTCCCCAACTACCCATCTCCCGCTGTCCCTCCCCTATTTCCCCGCAACAGACCCCAGTGTGTGATGCTCCCCTCCCTGTGTCCATGTGTTCTCATTGTTCAACACCCACCTATGAGTGAGAATATGCGGTGTTTGATTTTCTGTTCTTCTGTCAGTTTGCTGAGAATGATGGTTTCCAGGTTCATCCATGTCCCTACAAAGGACATGAAGTCACTGTATTGCCTTCAGGGTAAAACTCAGGTTCTAAATTAAGCCCTTCTTGACCTCTGCAGCCTCATTACTTCCACGCCCTGCATTCCAGCCAGACCCAGCCCCTCCTCCCAGTTCCTGTCGGAACCTTTATGCCTGTGTACCCACTCCTCAAAACATCCTTTTATTTTTTCTGACTAATACTCTAGTGTTCAAAATCAGCCCATATCCTTCCTCCTCAGGAGGTCCCTCTGAGTGTTGCCCAGCCTGAATGGCTCCCTTCCTGCCCTTACCCTGCTGTTAGATCTCTGTGGAGGTCTTTGCTGTCACTGGATGTGGGTTATGTCAGCCACTCTAACCAGACTGGTTACGTCCTGTAGGCAGTGACTATGTTGCTTATCATTGAATCTCCTGGACCTAGCAAAATACCTGGCCTCAGTAGGTACTCAAAAAATATGTGTTGAATAAGTTTCAACACATACAGAAACTTATGGAATAAGTTTCCCAACATCAGTAACAAACAGTAAGAATTAACATTTATTCACATTTCATTTAACTCAGCATTCATTCGTAGTCTTGCTGACGAATGGATATCTTGTACCATGGGAAGGTGGTAATCCCCCTGGGAAATGCCAGTGAGTGTGGTCACATTGCCGTCATTTCCCAGCAATAGTTGATGAGGTGTTTTCAGTTCACTGTTAAGACTCCTTAATAGTGCTTAATTATTACATTAAATTTGTTCTGCAAACTCTAAGAAAATGCCAACCTTTTTAAAATGCACTACTTTAGCCCACAAAGTGGATTTTTTTTTTAAATGTCTGTTTTGTTTTGGCAGATGCTTGCTCAGAAATCTGGCAATATTATCAACATGTCTTCTGTGGCTTCCAGCATCAAAGGTGAGTCTGTCTCCTTCTGAAGCCCACAATGCTCGTATATGCACATCATTAAGAGTGATGCATTTGGGAACAGGTCATAGCAGAGATCATAATTTCAAATTATTGAAATAATTTCAAAACTGCTTTTTTCAAAATTCGTATTAAGTTCCATAACCATTAATCTAATTTTACCACTGGCATAACATCTAGTTATGCTAGATGTGAGCCAGTGATAAAATTAGATTAAAATGTGGAGTTTTTTTGCCTTTTATTCTTTTGAGTAGATTTGGAAATGAGTATCAGACTGGGAGAAGGAACCATTTAACATTTAATTCATTTAAAATGGTATATTGAGCACCAGTATGTGCTCTGCCCCCAAAAGAATTCACAGTCCAAAACCAGAAGCAAGGCAGCAAACATCATCTTCCCTGGTGTGATGACATATAACAGAGGTTTGAACAAAACGCTGTCACAGTACAGGGAAGTAACTGCTGTGAGTCTGTGGAATGCTTCCCATAGACAGCTGATCTGAGCCATCAGCGAGAAGTCAAGTTGAAGGACAAGGACAGCAGTGCAAACTGTGGATTGTGTCATGATCTAGCAGAGTTGGATCTGTGAGTTGAAAATGAAATAGTCACTGCTGAGATAACATTTCTTCTCTTTGCAAGGATACACGTATTAAGCATACACAAGAGAGGAGTGTCAAGAAGTTCCTAGGCCTCCTGCTTAATTATTTTGCTTTGTTCTTAATCTTTATTTTCTTTTGGAATCTGCCTAAGAGTTATAGCAACTGATGAGAAACTAAAACTGGTCCCAATGTTAAATAAGTTCAGCATTTCAATTAAGTCTCAATTAAGTTGTCCCTAGACTGATATAATTTCCCTAGATCCAGAATGACTCTATTAAAGGAAAAGATCTGTTACCAATCTTTTTAGAAAGGAGGAATGTCGGAGAAAGCATGAAAATGGCTAATGGGAAAACTTATTTGTGTTACCTTTCTAAAGGAAAATACATTTTTTATTTTTTCAATTGTTGAACCTTTCCTCCACCCTCAGGAGTTGTGAACAGATGTGTGTATGGCACAACCAAGGCAGCCGTGATTGGCCTCACAAAGTCTGTGGCTGCAGACTTCATCCAGCAGGGCATAAGGTGCAACTGTGTGTGCCCTGGTGAGTAAGGCCCTGCAGGGCTGGGAACTTGGCATTTCTGACACTGTTTGCCACCATGAAAGATATCTACAGAAGTTTGTTTACTATATGTTATATTGTACTCTGAGGAAAAGTTCAAATAAAGGGAGTTGGGGCTGGGCTTATTAAGGTAACAGTACAGTTGTAAGTTGAGAAGGAGATCCTAAGTCATTGGGAACGAGCCACAGCTGCAAAAGGCTTAAATGCTACTTATGTGTTGGACAATTCAGAATCAAGTAGCTAAGAGACATAGCTGGCCAGACTTGCTGTTGGGAAGCAGACCAGAGTTGACCTTTGCAGGGTAAAGACATCAAGGGAAAGATGAAAATGGACCATGCTAGGCCGGGTGCAGTGGCTTACACCTGCAATCCCAACACTTTGGGAGGCTGAGGCAGGTGGATCACTAGGTCAAGAGATCGAAACCATTCTGGCCAACATGAAACCCCATCTCTACTAAAGATACTAGAATTGGCTGGACGTGGTGGTGCATGCCTGTAGTCCCAGCTACTCGGGAGGCTGAAGCAGGAGAAATGCTTGAACCAGGGAGTCGGAGGTTGCAGTGAGCCGAAATCGTGCCACTGCACTCCAGCCTGGCAACAGAGTGAGATGTCATCTCAAAAAAAAAAGAAAAGAAAACACACTATGCTCACAGGACAGCAGGAAAAAGTAAGGGGAGCCTCCCAAAACACAAGGATCCACTAAAATCACTTGAACCACTGGGGTGGCCTATAAATCAAAAGGAGGCATTAACCTTCCTTTTTGCTATAAAAAGAGGGCCAGCAAACCACAGCCTGTGGGCCACATCTGGGTCACCACCTGTTTTGTAAGCAAAGTTTTACTGAAACACTTCCACAGCCAATTTGCCTATGTATTGCCTATAGCTGTTTTCATGCTATAATGGCAGAGTTTAGTATAATAGTTGAAACAAAGAAAATGACTCTCAAAGCCATAAATATTTGCTACTGCCTCTTTACCAAGAAAGGTGTGCTGATCCCTCATACAAGAGAAAAAAGAAAAGCGGAACTTTCTTATCTTAATAAATGTGGCTATGTCTCATTTTCTCAATAAGTATAGATGTGTTTATTAAATTGATAGCCACTTTTACCTGGTTCTACCAATCTAAAATGAACATAGTGTATCTAATAAGGATTATTAATGTTCTTTAAAAAGAAATTAACTATTGCATATCCAGGATCAAGGTTTCCCTCAGTTGTGTACACTTGATATGAGGCAGGGGGTGTGAAAGGGAAACATTTCAAAACAACCTGGGGACCTTTCACACCTGAAGGGCATGCCACAATTCAGGGAAGGAGTTCACAGAGAAAATTGTGTTGTTTAGAAAGTCTCACAGGAGATTTTGATTGAATCTTCATTTGAAACCCACAGACTCAAAGAGGGAAAACTAAACATCTCCCAAGCTACAGAATTTCAGTGACTGAGATGTTCTGTTTTATTTTTCTTGGTACCGAAATGTAAACACAGATAACACTAAGAAAAAGAAGAATACATGAGAGATCATTTCAACGGGTTTTGAGGTACACCCTGGTGATACTTGAGTCTAGCTATTCTTGGTGCCATTTACCCAGTGGAAAGAATGGTAAAATGATTTGGAAAATGTGGTTGTGTTAGCGACTGGACTTATCAGAAGATTGGAAAATATGTTATCAAACTCTTTGGAACAAGGAACTAGCTGTGACTCAGTAAACCAATCACAGAAGAAAACTTGAGGAGGACTGACTATGTCTCAGATGATGCTGATGGTTGTATAGTCAGAAATCTCCAGCCAGACTTGTGTAGATCCTGGCATAATATGTCTGTGCCATGGACACAGCTGAACCCAGTGACACTGGAATCCTCTAAAGGCATGGGCTTGCTCTACTGTTTTTATTTAATAGCCATTAGTACTAGTCAAATGAAGACATGATGTTCATCTACCTCAGAGGGAGAAAGCTGTTAAAGCTGTAGGGATTTTGAGGAGATTGTTAGTGAAAGCTTGAGGTGCACACTGGTCGTAGTAAAACTGTGGACTTTAAGGAGGCTACTGAGGGAAGTATTGAAAATTAGATAAAAGGGGATCTTTGTCATACAGTTTCAGAAAATATGTCAACACTGTCGCCTGTAGTATGAAGGAAGGCAGAAGATGTTACTGATGAACTGGGTGATGTAGCTAAGGCGATTTCTACCCAGAGTCTTGAAACTGTTGCCTGCTTATAGTAAAATGTGACAAGAGACAGATAACATAAATAGGGGGTTCCAAAAAGGAGTTAGGCTTTCTGATTTTGAGCTTTACCAGAAAAAATAGCAAATGATGCTAAAATTAAGAAATGCTTCCTGAGCAAAGATCAAATCCATGGCACTCTCAGGAACGTGATCTAAGGGTGAAGTGTAACTGTAAAACCATTTGTTGCAACCTCGGAAGGATCACATCATTTGCCAGAGTACTGTTTAGTCTGAAAAAAAAGGCCTCTAAAGAGAATATACAGTTTATATGAGTTAATTAAAAAGTCTGGGGAACTTGCTCTAGGAGACCAAAAACTAAGTGGAATTTTAAGTTTTTAGTGTTCTTTTTCTTTTTTAAAGTAAAATAACTTTAAATTAAATTACAGTTTTGATTAAAAACTTGAAACTATGGTTAAAAGTAGGAATTTGAAACAATGAAAATAGGCAAGGTGATGAGAAAAATTTAGTGCCACATGAATTACCAAGGACTATGGCAGCCATGGGATTGTCCCCAAAGATCCCACAGTGAACTTGACAGCAGAGAATGGTTTTGAGATCATTGAGTCAAACTGGATCCTTAAGCTGGCAAAGTGCTTGTATGATTTTATCTACATCTAAGGGTTACTGTGAGAATTAGCTCAGATAATATACATATGAAAATATTTAAAATCCATAAAGCATTATATAAATGCAATGTGACTGAAATACATGTCCTTGAGAATGCTAGGTGATTCACCAGAGTCCCTACGAAGAATCATAGTTTGTTTTTAAAATCAAATAAATGTTATTGAAGAAGTTATAAGTCTATTAAATAAGAGGCCTCAGGCAGGCAGATGTGAAGTTGCCATTTTAAGTCAAGAAGAAGAATCTCACTGATTGTTTTATCACACGGAAAGGAAGTTTCTAGTTATTGATTTCTTTTTCAGTTTAAGCGAGTAACCAAGCTGAATATCCCCCTTTGATTCAGGAACGGTTGATACCCCATCTCTACAAGAAAGAATACAAGCCAGAGGAAATCCTGAAGAGGTATGTCTAGCATTTAAAATGTATTTAAACCTTTGGTTAATAAATGCCCTCTTCCATACCTATAGCAGACAAATTCATAGAGACAGAAAGTGAAATGGTAGTCACCAGGGGCTTGGAAGGAGGGCAATGAGTAGTTAATGCTTAGTGAGCAGAGAGGTTGTTTTTTAAGGTGAAAAGAACTCTGCTTGGGAAGCTGAGGCTGGGGTACTTGAGTCCAGGAGTTTGAGGTACAATAGCGAGCTATGATCACAGCACTGCACTCCAGACTGGGTAACAAAGCAAGACTCCGTTTCTAAGAAAAAAAAATTAACAAAAATAAAATAAGAGTTCTGGAGACGGACAATGGTGATCGTGACACAACAGTGTGAATGTACTTAATGCCAGTGAACTGCACACTTAAAATGGTTAAGATAGTAAATTTTATGTTATGTATACTTTACCATAACCTTCAAACATGAAAGAAATAATGCTCTCATCTTTAATGTTAGCTTTCTGATCTGTCACAGTATCTGCGGGTTTTAGTATAACACAAATAATTTGAGTAACTGTGGCAAAAGACTCACCATAACCCTAGCTGATTATTCATCAAGGCAGCAAACCAGTGGATTCTCTTGCCTTTGACTCTTTGGAGAAGATGCAGGTGTTCACGTGACTGATGTCTGGTGTGGTTTCTGGTCACAGGCACGGAATGATTTCCTGAAGAGACAGAAGACGGGAAGATTTGCAACGGCAGAAGAAATAGCCATGCTCTGTGTGTATTTGGCTTCTGATGAAGTAAGCACTATTCTTTCCAAGGAGTTCATTATCCTCAATCACATTTGGCCACAATTTGCTCATCAAAATAGTATCATTTTAGAGAGTTTATGGCATATATATGCTAAGATGCCTCATTTATAAGATAGGGATAAATTCTCATTTAATATGCTCAAAGAAAGACCACTTTGATCTGAGCCACTAACTCTTTCTTATCCAGCTTTACCATAACATCCTGAAGCAAACAAAATGGAGGACTAAAAAAATGAAAGTGCTCAATTTTCTAAGAGACGGTTCCTTTAAAAAATTATAATTGGGGAAACCCTGATTAAATATAAGTCCAACAAATGAACCTCTAGGATTACAAGAGCTTTAAGTGAAATGAGGAGAGGATTAAGCAGATTTGTGTTCAGGGGACACAGAATTGGTGTGTGGTGGTTTAGTTTTACTTGTGACTTGTTTGGGAGCATTCCACTTGCTCTCTTTTCTCTATTAATTCTTACCTGTGGCTGGGCATGGTGGCTCACGCTTTGAATCCCAGTACTTTGGGAAGTCGAGGCAGGCAGATCACCTGAGGTCAGGAGTTTGAGATCAGTGTGGCCAACATGGCGAAATCTTATCTCTACTAAAAATACAAAAATAACCAGGTGTGGTGGCGGGTGCCTGTAATCCCAGCTACTCTTGAGGCTGAAGCAAGAGAATCACTTGACCCTGGGAGGCAGAGGTTGCAGTGAGCTGAGATCATGCCATTGCACTCCAGCCTGGGTGACAGAGTGAGACTCTGTCTCAAAATAAATAAAAAAATTTTTTTCTAATTATTACTTCTTTGTCATCATGTATGGAAATTTCTAATTTAACCTCTTCCATTTTGCATCTGTTTAACAGTTTTTTTCTTAATGGCTATTGTATACTTTTAAATGGCTTAAGATGAAGGCAAAAATGATGTTTATAAGGCATAGAGCACAAGAACATCCTCCTCTGTTTTATGTCTTGGAATACTATTTAACAAGGAACTGTAATGTGTGAGAAGGGGGAAGGAAAGGGGACTAGTTGAGAGTGAGGAGGGAACAACTGATAGCTCCTCTTGCTAGTAACTTGGTGCACACCAGGCTGTTGATGAATGTGACAGATACAGGGGTTGAAATGTTTCCGTGACAGCACAGTTTCTTCTCAGAACTTCTCCCAACTATTAACAACTATTGTTAATAGCTGGAGAAATTAATAGACAAATGTTTAATGGAGAAGTACATGAGCCTTTGTGATTTCTCTGAATCCGTATCTTCAGAAAAGCTCACTTGATTTGGGTACTGCTGATAAGCTAAATTACTGTTAATAAGCTTAGTTAGCCAGAGCTTAGGTTACAAAATATTTGGAAGAGTTCTGGCTTAAAATGTGCTACAAAAGTACCTTTGGCTTTTAGAGGTGTCCAGAGGAGTTTATATGAATAAAAGAACTTGCCTTTTCAAAGAACTTGGGGGAGCTGGAGGCATTTATTTGGTAAAGTGCCTAATAACTCCGTAGTTCACCTACTGTATATTACCAGCTTTTATATATGGAACCCTTAAAATTTCTCTATTTATTAGGATTGTCCTTACTTCCTCTTCCATTGTTTCAGGCTTTAGATGAATTTAGAACTGATTGAGTCTTTATTATCCATTTTAAGTTAAAAGATTTTTAAACTTCTACTAAAAAGATCACTTCAGCCTTAATTTTTAGAAAATGAATAATTTATGGTAATAAACCAGTAATTATTTTTTAAATCCTTAGTTTTATAAAGATTTGGATGTCTGAAACTAATATAGAATATTTGTATAGCTTAATAGGTTATAGTTATGCTTCAGCTCCTGGAATTATCTACTTATATTGACCAACTAAATATATGCTGTCTTTTAAAAAAAAAAAAAACAAAAAAAAACTGGTCATTAACATGACCATTTTACGACTGGCATACATGTTCAAAAGTTTATTAGTGGCATAAAATTTAGCTAGTTTTGAATAGTTCTGAGTTTTAAAATGAAAATGTGTGTTTAGCCTATATCCTAATTTGGGAAATGGCTATATATCACCATTCCTTAATTTTGGGATTCTGAGACCAAATACCTCAGAGTGACATATGCTTAGGCACCAGCCAGAAGCCATTTAGTTTCAGATCACAAAACTCAGCAGTTCTGAGTCCACCAAACTTTAATTTGGATTTCCCTGAATTAAGTGTTTAAGTGAGGTTTCCTGTTAGGACAAGAGTAAATTGTGTAGTTATCCTAGTCATAGGAAAATTAGAAAATACAGCCTGTATCAAACCTGGTTAATTGTTCTGTCTCCTTGTGTTTATTACTGCAGTCTGCTTATGTAACTGGTAACCCTGTCATCATTGATGGAGGCTGGAGCTTGTGATTTCAGGATTTTGGTGGTGGGAGAGAAGGCAGCCCCTTCCTGTCTGCAGTGAACCTGGTTATGAAGAAAACTCGCCAATCATCTCTTTCCTGTTAATGACATGTTAATGAAAATAAGCCCTTTTTAATAATGTCACTGTTTGCAAGAGTCTGCTTCTTTAAGTATATTAATACCTTTGTAATCTCTTCTAAAATCACTGTAAGGAAATGAAATAAAAGTGTTGAACTCATTGCAAGAGAATAGTTTTTAAAATAAACCTCAATTTGTAAGAATGTCTTAGTCACTTTGGGCTGCTACAAAAAATTACCATAGACTGAATGTTATAGACAACAAACATTTCTTTTTCAGTCTGGAGACTAGGAAGTGCAAGATCAATGTGTGAGCAGATATGGTATCTGGTTAGGGCCCACTTCCTGGTTTGCAGATGGTGATCTGCTTGCTACATCTTCACATAGCAAGAGCAGAGAAAAAAAGCAAACTCTTATGTGTCTTTTTAAAAGGACACTAATCATGTTCATGAGGGCATTATCCTTATGACCAGATAACCTCCCAAAGGCCCGCTTCCTAATGTATCATATTGGGGTTTAGGATTTCAACACATGACTTTGGATGATACAAACAGCCAATTGCAGCATATAAAATTAAAATGTAAATATGAAGAAAAAAGAGTTTTTTGTTTTTTTGTGTTTTTTTTTTTTTTAAGGAAGAAGATAGTAACTTCAGAACTAGAATAGCTCATGCCTGTAATTCCTGCACTTTGGGAGGCCAAGGCAGGAGGATCATTTGCTGCCAAGAGTTCAAGACCAGCCCGGTTAACATAGGGAGGATTGCTGAGGCAGGAAGTAATCATGTCACCACACTCCAGGGTGACAGAGCAAGACCTTGTAGCTAAATAATAATTCCACTTTATTCTATTTTTCATTGTTCAAATATTTTTATATAATTCTGCATTGTTCTGTATGTAGATCCTAATGTTAAAATTTTACACCATCATAAATGAACAGCAAAGGTAGGAAGGTGTTTGGCTTCAATAACTTATAGTAAAAGGAGTAAAAGAGTTCTAAATTGTCAATCTGTTACATTATGAAAAATAATTCAGTGTTTATACTTAATGAATGTCATCCCTTATTAAATACTATTTTCTCAGTCTAAACAATCTTTATTAAAATAAGCAATGATACATGACATGGGCCTAAGAAATATATAGTTAGCTAACTGACAATATTTCAGTTTGAGGGATTTCTTTTTTAGATTAAGAACAGATTTCTTCACCAAACTCCAGAGTAACAGACAAGAGGTCATAAAATTTGGACATAGTCTCTGGATAAACAAATGTAAATTTAAATATAAATCATATAACAGGAAACGAATGAAATTAAATTTTCAAGAAAAAGCTTATGGATAATAAAATTCTATAACATCGTTAGGGCAAAGTCTTTTCATTTTAATTTAAGGGTTTTATGTTTGTTTTTTACTTGTTGCAGCCTCAAAGGACCAAATGGTATGATGCACACTGAGATAATAAATATGCAGTTCCTCTTAGCTGTTTTTCCTAAAACTTTAATAACAAGGAAAATTTTGAAATGGACAATGAAAAGACAACAGTTTATGTATGAGGAAGAATATCATGCCGTTGATGAAAGGTAGGTTAAAATTCACACAAAAGGATATTTTAACTAGCATTCCAAAAGTCTATTGATTATAAGAATATAATTTGGACCAGGCATTACATACTGAATTATGGATAACTTTGGTTTGTGACCTAGACCAAGTCACCCAATTTATCTTGGATTTTAGTTTTCTGGTTTGTGAAATTAAGGAATTAAGCTAAATCACTTGGGTTTCTTTTCGTGTATCATAATCAAAATGCTGTAACTTCTCTAGTGAACACTGACTCTTTCAAATATGCTATGAAATACTTTATGCTGTGAGTAGGTATACATGTATAATATATGTATAATGTGAACAAATTAATTCTAAAAAATGTACAATGCATTCTACAAAATGGGCTCTAACAACAAATGCTGTAAGTCAGTCTTTTTTGGAGTTGACCGTAAACTTAACATGTTTATAAATACTATCCGCAATAGAAACGAAGGAAAATCTAGCCAACAAATTCAATGTTCCCCGAAGTCATGTTAATCAAATCAGATGATATATTAATGAAGGACGTAAGACTAAAAGGAAAAATATATGTCATTCCTGTGGTAAGAGGAAGCTGAATGCCACTAGAAATTTTTGCAAGCTTTAGGAGAGGAAGAGTTCAGTTTAGGAAAATAATCGCTTCAGATGATCTGAAGGGTATTGAATGGAACCTAGGTTCATCACAAAAGAGGACGTAAGAGACAAGAATGAATGCTTTCTGTCTGGTGGAGAAATTTGAGGATAGTCTCCCTTGCCTGAAAAGCGGTGATTAAAATTGGCACTTGCTTACAGGAGTGAAAAACAGGTAAGGGGTGCGCGTGTCTACACACACACAAGAGGAACTACGGAGAAAGAGAAGACACAAACATGAAATAACAGTAAATAGAAACACACTGCAGGTGTTAAGCGATAAAGGGCGGGGGTGGGGGAGCAGAACAAGTCTTTCATCTCGCCATTTAATTGGTCACCTTAAGAAAGAATCCTATCTTTCCCACCGCAGCTGAGAAGACATTTCCAAAAAAAAGTAAGCTCACAGGTGGAGTATTGATACACAACGTACAGGTTGGTTTCGGGAACGATAAGCAATTGGCTGCCACGCCTGCGCCGCGGACTCCCGCGGAGCCTGCGCTGCTCTCCCCGCGCCGGGTCTGTTCATCTCCGGGAAGCTTCCCCCGGAGCGCTATGGTCCCGGCAGCAGGAGCCCGCACACGCGCCCAGTAAGGAAAAGCAGCGGAAAGGCCGCGCGGTGCGGCTCCGAGGCCCTAGGATGTGGGCCCGTGGTTGGCATGGCGCCACCTACCCGCTGCCAGACCCGAAACCCGGCGGAGGGCACACGCGGCGGCCGCTGCGGGCCCCGGACCAACCCGGGCTTGCTCCAGACCCCGTCCCGGCGCCGACAGGTCGGACCCTCCTGCGCTGACTCGCCCGGCGGGTGTGCGCGAAAGGCGTGGCCGCCTACACGCGGTGCCGCGCCCGGAAGCCGTTTATCTGCAATCCTCGCCGCTTCCCGGCTCAGCCTGGAACGATGCGCAAAGCGGGAACCCCAGCGCGCCGGTGGCAAGACCAGGCTCCGCTGCCTTCCTAACAGCCTGTTTCCTAATCCGACTGAGCCGGGTCGACTCCGCTGGAGACTGCCAAGTGGGAGGCCCCGAGACACTAAGGGTAAAAATAAACCCAGCGCCCGCCGTGGAGACCCCGTAGGCCTGCTGGGCTGGAGACGGGAGCGAGGGCCAGCCTTTTCTGTTTGCACACCCGATAACGTGACGCGCGCGCGTATGTTTACTGTTGTCAGGTGTTGGCGTGGGTTTTTCTGGCTTGCTTTTATTTTAGTTCTCAGATTAACCAGAGGGTCTTGCCTTTGTGGACTAGGTTAGCATTCTCGGGGCGCAAAGAATCATCAAATGCTATTGACTGGAGAGTATAACCTTAAGACAGCAGTAAATGCTTTAAGACGTAAAGTAAAAAATCTCAGTAGCTAAACGTAGTTCAGGCTTATTTCTCATTCATGTCAAGTCCATTCACATGTTCAGCTGGTGGTCTTCTACTCAATGATTCCGGAACCGAAACCCCTTTTATATTATGGCTTTGCCATCCCCTAAGACCTTGGAGTGCTTAGTTTCCAGGCAACGGACAGAAAAAGAGAAGCTATGTAGAGGATTGCATGACGATTGTTTGTTATGGCCGAGGACTGGAAATAACATACTCTTTATGCCCACATTCCATTGGCCAAACTTCAGTCACATGCCACACTGACCTGCAAGGGAGACTGGAAATGCACTGTAGGCCCAGGCAGAAGAGGAAACAAATTTGGTAAACACATACCAGTCTCTGACCCCCCGCTTAAAGGACAGGCTGCCTCGGAGTCATCTTTGTTACCCTTGTGCTTAACACATCATAGAAAGTTGTTAAGGCTTTGAAAGGCCAAGGAGGGCATATCACCTGAGGTTAGGAGTTCGAGACCAGCCCGGCCAACATGGTGAAATCCTGTCTCTATTAAAAATATAAACATTCGCTGGACATGGTGGCGCACGCTCGTAATCCCAGCTATTCTGGAGGCTGAGGCAGGAGAAACACTTGAACCCAGGAGGCAGAGGTTGCAGTGAACCAAGATCACTCCACTGCACTCCAGCCTGGGTGACAGAGTGAGACTCTGTCTCAAAAAAGAAAAGAAAAGAAAATGAAACTTGTTAAGAGATGGAGTTGTTATTGCATGCGTCTTAAGTTGAAACTTAACCGTATTTTATTACGATTGCTTAGGAATCATTTAACATTCTCTGACTAGCTTGCAAGATCTGAATATAGGAACTATGTAAAACTTCACTTCTGAATCCTCAGCTCAAGGACTAGGACATAACAAGAGCATAATAGCTCTTGTTTGTTGAATGAATGAATGAATGAATGAATCCTCAGAGAGGAAAATGAGGGAGTTTGTCAATATTGGAGTTAGGAAGTACTGAGAAAGTGATGTTTGAGTTACATTTTGAATTTCTTCGAGTAGAAAAAGCAAGAAATGAAATTCCAGGCAGCAGTGGTAGTAATATTTTGTAGTTGTTGTTTTGTTTCATGAGTAGAAATTTGGAAAACAACCAAATGTTTATAAGTCCAACTTTTCTTCATTTAGTATTCAAATATTACAATTTAACTTCAGGGTAGAGGAGGGGAAATATATAATCTTACAATCCAAATAATTTCTGTTCACTAAAAGGATGACAGTGAAAACCTTGGCACTAATTTTTAACTTTCTAAAATGTTACTTTCTGGACATCTTTTAGAAATTTCAACACAAAGGCAGTGCTCTGATTATTTATCATCTGTGATGATTTTGCACTATATCAAGAAGGTAGAGAGATAGAAGCTAAAGTTTATAAACCAGAGGTTCCTCATCGTCACTGTTCATCAGGGCTTCTCAGGGATGGTTCTACAGCAAGATCACCTATTGTATTGGTTAGGATGCTTTTGGCTGCAAGTAACGGCATATTCAGCCAAAAATTCGCTCAAAAATACTAATTTACGTTTCTCATAGACGAAGATGTTTGAAGGTAGGTGGGTCCAGGATTTGTTCAGTACCTCAATAATATCTGGGCTCTAGGTTGCTTTCTGTGTTTAGCTAATCTTGCCTTTTCTTCATGGGTGAATGATGGCTGCTAGAATTGTCCCAAGAAACCCATTTACAACCCCAACTTCCCTTGCCTCTTCACCTGGTCATTTAAAAACAAAAAGGGGAGAATTTTCCTCCTCTTTCTGTCTTTATTAAGAAGGAAAATCTTACCTAATGTGCCCCAATAGTCTGGCTTACAGATTCCAATGGCAAGAAAAGAATCATGTTCAGTCCTTAATCAGTAAGTGGCAATAAGGAATGGCGTTACAGGGATTTATTTAGACGTGTCATGATTTATCCCTAGGGCTGGGGAAGGGACCCACTGGCATACCTGAACATTTGGCATTTACACAGTCAGTAATTCATGTCTGTCCCACTTGGGGTAGATTCAGACTTTGTAGATTCTGATTTTAGTGGGCCTAGAAATAATATTTTAAACTTTTAATAAATACATTTCCCTTTGGTGAGGAGAGAGACTAGAAAGGACGAAAGCAAGTAATGGATCCCTTCTTATGTAGGGGCAATTTCCTTTTATTCATATCTCATTATATAGTGTTTTGCTTCATGAGTCAGTGAGATTACACTCAAAACAGTGATTATTTTCCTTTGGTAACTTGGCCCCATGTATTTGACTCACCTAAGGCTTTCAGATAAGGTAGTTCTCATTCAGGGAAACATTGTTAGTCATTTTGGTAATTAATTGTCAAAGAAAATTTTAAGCCCTACTCTGAGCCTGATCTGAATTCCTCATTGCTGGGTAGGGCTCCTTTAGGGAAATGAGCATTAGATCAGTGTTGATAAGCAAGTACAGAAACTGGAATACTTCTGTATGTTCTATATAGAAATATGATATGAGACTGAGAACCTATACTTTCAGCACATGAATAGATTAACACAGAGGTAGGAGACTGTTATTAGAATCATCATAGAGTATTGAATAATCACGGTGATGCTCTTTCAAAGGCATGAATACAACAGAGTACTCTAGCAATGTCTTCGTCTATTTTTGTTACCGTAACAAAATACCACAAAGTAAATAATTTATAAATAATCGAAATTTATTTCTCACAGTTCTGGAGGCTGGAAAGTCCAAGGTCAAGGTGCCAATTAGATTTGATGTCTGTTTAGGACCTGATCTCTGCTTGTAAGATGGTGACTTCTTCCCATGTCTTCTTCACATGAAAGAAGAGACTAAGGCTATGTTCCCAGATGGTGGAAGGGAAAGAGCAAAAGGGACTAGGCTGCTCCTTTTGACCCCTTTTGTAAGAGCACTAATCCCATTCATGGGGGTAGAGTGCTGACGACTTAATCACTTCACAAAAGTACCTCCCTCTTTAATACTATTACCTTGACAGTTACATTCCAACATCCAAATTTTGGAGGGAAACAAACAAACCATAGCAAGCAATATATGTAAATTCTGCTTAAGATTACCCCATTAAATGTCAGCCTATCCAAATCACAGACAGCAAGAACAAGAGTAAAAAGTCTTTATCCATATCTTTTAGTAGTAATTGAAATGATCGCAGTAAGTCTGTTTTACTTGACTGAGAGCCTAAGGACATTCGCAAGTTGATAGTTCCTTCATTTCTTCTGGAATATTACAGAAAGTACTTGTAAACATTTAGATTAGTAAGATAACGTGAAAAAAGAGAACATTTAACAAATATCTCTCTATGTGAAACCATGTTTACAGAAATGGTTTCCACAGTATGCTTCACTTGCCAGAAGGAACAGAGGTGAGTAGACAGGGCTCCTGCAGCACCACCTTAGTTCCACTTGTAGTATTTAAGGATAAGGTTTCATTTGAGGAAAGATATTTGGCTTAAAAATATGAAAACCAAGGCTGGGCATGGTGGCTCACATCTGTAATCCGAGCATTTTGGGAGGCTGAGGCGGGTGGATCACAAGGTCAGGAGTTTGAACCAGCCTGGCCAACATGGTAAAACCCTGCCTCTAGTGAAAATACAAAAATTAGCCGGGCATAGAGGCTGGTGCCTGTAGTCCCAGCTCCTCAGGAGGCTGAGGCAGGAGAATCACTTGAACCCAGGAGACGGAGGTTGTAGGGAGCCAAGATCATGCCACTGCACTCCAGCCTGGGTGACAGAGCAAGGATCCATCTTAAAAAAAAAAAAGTATTTAAAATTACGTAAAATATTATTAAATCTTAATAGTGTAGAAAATAAAAATGAAAGTCCAGCCACTCCCCTTCCATTTCCCTTCCCAAAGTCAACTGCTGTCAATGGACTTTTATTTCTGTTTACTTCTATAACAGGTACGTATATCGAACTGCTTATATTCTTGATCTTGAAAAGGACAGTTTTCTTTCAAGTGGGGTGAAAAGATTAAGAAAACTATTTTTTTTTTTTTAATACGGAGCCCAGGCAGGAGTGCAGTGTCGTGATGTTGGCTCAGTGCAACCTCTGCCTCCTGGGTTCAAGCAATTCTCCTGCCTCAGCCTTCCAAGTAGCTGAGATTACAGACACCCACCACCATGCCTGGCTAATTTTTGTGTTTGTTTAGTAGAGGCAGGGTTTCACCATGTTGGCCAGGCTGGTCTTGAACTCCTGACCTCAGGTGATCCACTCGCTTCAGCCTCCCAGAGTGCTGGGATTACAGGCTTGAAACACCATGTCCAGCCAAGAAAACTCTATTTAATTTCATAGCTCTATAATTTTGGTGGCGTATGTCCCTAGTGCTAGAAAATAAAGTTCAAATTAAGCCAAGAGAGTTTCTAAATATGGGTGTCAGTCCCATAGGAAACTCTGAATATTGGGTATGCTAGAGAAAGGCATGAATGGCCTGCAGCCTTTGCATGTATTTTCAGAAAATACCTCACCTACTAACCGAGGAGCAAGTAGGCAGTCACGTTAGTCATAACAGCCAAGTCCCTTGGCTTAGGCCAGACCTCACTCCTCTGTTGAATTCTGTATCTGAGCCATAGAACCTTGACTGAATTCCTGTTATTTACTGAATTTAAAGACCTATAAAATTTTGCCATTTGAAACAGACCAAGGTTTT